TTAAAATCATTTGTTTTTCTTTGCTAGCAATATAGTGACCTTGTCTAATATCATACCCTGCTAAAAAAACATGTTAAAATTTTACTATAAATTGGTTATCTTGAAATATTATGGAAAAAAAGACACAAATTCAATAAATTATTATACTCAATATTGTATCCTTTTAAACTATATGCTGCGGTTAGAATAATAAGGATAAAATTTAAAAAAAACTAATTATAAAAGATTTAAACACTTTTTTGAAACAATTTACCAGGAAAATTTTTTCTATTGTTATAAAAATTCTAGGCATATTTTGTTGTGTTGTCAACTGCAAGGATTATGATCAAAGCTTAAGTACACGTGTAAAATTTAAAGAAACATATATAACAACACCTTTATCTTCAAAGGTTTTTTTTGTCATTCTATATATTAATCTTTTCTAAAAAAAAAAATAAATAAATAATTTTATACAAACTCACATTTTAAGTATTGCATTAATGGTTTTATCAGATTTTTAATATTAATCAAAGTGGAATGCAGTCCAAAATAGAGTGAGTAGGAAGTTTCTTTTAGTTGTCAATCATCACTATCCCACTGAAAAATATATTTTATTCTAAAAAAAGTCCAAAGGTGGCATCTTGTTTATATTCCTACATACACCTATTGTTAAGGATTAGTTTTATACTTTAACAATAACTTAAGTATATGTATTATTAAATTATAAATAAGTATTTATAATTCAGATCTTAAAAAATTGTATATTAGTTAAACATTTTGTATGTATGGTCGATCGGCAGATCACGTCTTGTGTACTCAGTGTCCGGTCCCTGATAAAAGAAAAATAGTATTACTAAAAATACGAGTAACGGTTTCACTAGTTGATACTTCCATCATTTTATGCATATAGCATTTTTTCTTATTATTTATTTATTAGGTTAAAGCGGACAAAAAATGCACTATTCAGTTTCATAAGAAAGGTTCATTTTTATAACACATGCCTGATATGTACACCAATTAAATTCTTATTCTTAGAAACTCAGTGTTCCAGTGTTGGTGAATGTAATTTCAAAGAGTTGAAGAAAATCTTCTTAAATTATTTCTACATAATGAAAGCAGATAAGACCGGGGTTATATAAATTGACCTCAAGTTTTACAGATAACATAGACTTTTGACCTTGCTGCAGCTGGCTAAATTATTAAATCCCAAATGACCCACACTGCAATCCAAGATATAGGAAATCTGTGAAATTCAGAGTGCATGTTTCTGAAATTAACAATTAAATCAAAGATAGTTTCATTATCAAAGTATCTAAATTTTAAAGGGGGACGGAAGATGAGCAATTGCCAATCAATAAAAATAAAAAATTGTAGAATTGTATTACTCAGTACATTTCTTTTAATTCATGTGCTAATAATTTAATAAAATATTCTAAATCAATAAAACATTTTTTAAGGGCTTTTTTTGGAAATATGGATTCTTATTCCTGCTTCCTTAAGATTAAGTGCAGGAGATGTTGTTTTCACATTATTATTATTTCTTTTTTTTAACAAAATAATCCTGTGGAATTTTTCTTTGCATTTAACCAGATTTACAAACCAGATTTTAGCCTGAGATTTGTTATTCCCGAACTAGAATAATTAGTAAAGTTTTACAGCGTAATTATAAATTTCATTACATTTTTTGTTTTTTAAATATATTGAAACTATCCAAATTTTAAGGAGTAAAATTTAAAACTCTAACAAGATCTTAATTCTCTCACTGTTTGAGCTCTGTTCTACAATGTAAATTAATTGCTTCAATCTTCTGACTGCAGAGACAATTGTTTATCTATAACACGATCAAGTCATCATAGCATCAGCACTGATCTTTACTGTCCATGAAGTAATAGGGGACAGATAGTTGCCAGAGCTGATCGCCTATAGCTAGTGTTCCATGAGCATATATGATTGGCAGTGATATTTAATAACAATTACAGTGTGAGCTGGGGCCAGGAAGAAATCAAGTCCTCAAAGTCTTTATCTTTAAAGTAGAGAATGATGCAGGACTTAGGGTTATTAGACAAATCCCTATTATAGAATCAATTCTTCAGTTTTAAGAAATACACAATAGTACTACAATATAATACAAACTGAGATTCAGAATGAAAATAGGTTCGTGTAAATTAAAGAATACATTAATAAAACCCATGAAATATTATATGACACCTGCATGCACTATGGAAAAAGAGAAATAAATTTAAAAAATTTGATGACTTATATTATCATACATGTATATAAAATGTTTATTGGGGGAGTATGGGGCTTAAGACCTATATATTATTGTAATTTACATTTCCAATTGTCACTTAGTTTTTAAATTAGTGTTACATGAAAAATGTAAAGGAGAATGATTTTTCTCAGACATAATTTGCAAATCAGAGTTATTACTGTAAACGTGTAACATTTGGCGGTGTATTCTTTTTAGCTTTTTGGCGGAAAGAAACATCTGCTAATTTAAGTACAACACTAAATGACTTAAACATAAAACATTAAAATGCGCTAAATCATACCTACGCTAACTTATTAAAATATCAACTTCCGCCAAATATAGTACACTCTAAATATAAAACATTTACAGTGTTTCATTTAAATAGTACGAGAAAGATAGAAAGTGTCAATTTTGCAATATTCTTAATACAGTATGGAAATGCTTTCATAATTAATGGGCAATTTAAAGTTCAAAATTTTAATTTAAGTTTTGCAATTTTTATATCGATTTTTCCAGTCTATGTATTTTTTAGATGACACATCAAAACTTGTTATTATGTACACATTGTTTCGATTATTCTAACTTTGCCTGAGTCACATCTTTGATAATACGACATGCTGTACTGAATGTGAGATTTTTCCTACAGAAGAAGACACCCAAGAAACTTGTTGAGGCTGTTTTACTGTGACTGATGAAAAAATGCTATGAACCTTTGGAGACCAAGGAATTGGAATCATCTCTATTATGAGGGAAAGATGTAACCGAGAAATAAACATGGTTGACCTTCATCACAACTTTGGTTTAATTTCGTGGTAGAAAGGAAAAATACTGTGGGTATTAACCTCTTTAACCAAGACATTGTAATATGTGATCACACTGCCATTCAGTGAAAAAGCCCTTTGAGTTGATACATGAACACTGCACATTGCACATGCTTGTTCCGAAGTGAAAAATTTGTTTGTTCTTGTACCTAGTTTATATTATGCTTTAAGAAAGCCTTAATTCAAAAGGTACTGTATAAAATGACAAAATGATTTTCATATATATTTTGTAGAGTGTGTACAGATAAAAAATGTTTCTATGAATATGTACTGCATTTCATATAAAAGAGAGAAATGTTTCCCAAATTCTTCATGTACGATAAAAACTAACATAATATCACAAAACACATGATAATGTTAGAGAGGAACGTTCCTTTAAAGTTATTTTTAAGTGGGCTTTGCAATGTATCAACAGATATTCATTTCAAGACAGAGGAACGTTCCTCAAATGCACGGGTTGCAAGCTTCATGAGGTATAAGTAATCAACAGAAATACAACCATTTGTGAGAGGAACGTTCCTCAAATGCCTGATTTAATATGAATAAGGTATCAACATATACAAATCTGAGAGAGGAACGTTTCACATACATGTAAGTATCCTGTGTGAACAATGTTAAATTTTAGTGAGGAACGTTCCTGAAATGCCTAATGTTTGACAACTCATGAGACATCCATTTGTGAGAGGAACGTTCCTCAAATGCCTGATATTTGACAATCCTTGAGATGCCTACAGTAATAATTAAATTCGAGCGAGGAACGTTCCTCAAATGCCTGATGTTTGACCATTCATGAGATGTCTTCAGAAAAAGTGAATTTGAGAGAGGAACGTTCCTCAAATGTCTCATGTGTTAAGATTCTTAAAGTATCTAAAAATACACGCTGTTTGTGCACATGTAAGAGAGGAACGTTACTCAAATGTCTAGTGATAATAAATTCATCTTAGTTTAGAGAGAGGAACATTCCTCAAATGTCTGGTCATAACAAATGCATCTGAAGTTCAGAGAGAGGAACGTTCCTCAAATGTCTGGTCATACTAAATGAATCTGAAGTTCAGAGAGAGAGAGAGAGAGAGAGAGAGAGAGAGAGAGAGGAACGTTCCTCAAATGTTTGGTGATAACAAATGCACCAGCAGTGTAGAGAGAGGAACGTTCCTCAAATCTCTGGTCATAACAAATGCATTTGAAGTGTATAAAGAGGAACGTTCCTCAAATACTTAAGAAAAATCTTCAAAAAAGGAACTTGTGGAGACACATTTAAGGATTTTAAGACCAAAATGACTTCAGATTGTAAACCTTGGGTGAAAAAAAGGGAATTTTGATTTTCCCTTTTTGTTTTGGATTGTGTTACATGTACTTTAATATGAATGAACACTTAATAGAGCATTATCCGTATACCAATTTATATTGAACCAAATAAAATCCAATAACCCCCTTTATATCATACACATGTATTTGTAGGTTGTTTCTAACTATGAAGTCATTACTTTATAAAATTATTTTTTGATGACTGATCTAACAAAGTTTTTCTCCTTTTTTTTTTTTTTACTAAACATATGAACTAAAATTATTCTGAGTCCATTATTTAACTTAGGTGCAAGTAACACTGTCAAAATTTATTTGTTAAAATAAAATCAATTTATCATCAAAGAGAATAATAGTATGGATTCAATTGCAGTGATGTCTGAAACATGAATGTAACGGTAAAAAAAATAAAGACAGTACATTTGATGAATATGAAAAAGAACAAAGTCACAATAGGCCTATCTCTTAATTAAATGATAATTTAAAGGCATAACTTTAATAATGCTTAATTCTTTAATTCAGTGACATCTGTTGTTGAGGTTAAGGGAGATGAAATATGCTTTTATCATAATATGAGTAACAAGGAGCTCAAAGGAAATCCTTTTATAGACCAGATAAAGTAATGTAGAGTCTTTGTTACTTTTTAGAGTAAGCTGCAGAAACTGGATGACAGTGGAGGATTTACTGCCAAGATGAATGCCCTCAAGGACAGGCTGAAGAAATGGGAGAAAAAAGAAGCCGAGTAAGAACAGAGTTGTATCATTAAGGTTATTCCAGGGTCAAATGAAATTCTGAATTGAGATATGAATTTAAATACATGTAAATAAGAAATGGTAGATTGTTAAAATAAAAATAAATATTTTATTCCACAGAGTTGAAAGCTACCAAAAGGAAGCTTTACGAAGAGTCGAGACCCAGGCAGAGGCAGTGATGCGAAGAATGGCTATTGAGTTAGAGTCCGGGGGAAATGTGCGCTTTGAAGAGGGTACAACTTCCGATGTTTGGTAAATTATTTTGCATATTTGATTGCGATTGCGGTAAGAATTACAGTCAACTTATAAAGTTGACTGCAGGTTTATACAATATTGTGTATCTTTTTTAGTCCTTGTTTGAACAGTAAGAAATAATTATATGCTCCATAACATAATCAACAAATTATGTATCATAAATCCTTGTAGAAGAAGCTAACATAACTCTTTGATTTGTCTAGGTTCTCTTCCTGTCATGATTTGGTGCTCTCTCGGTTCTGTGCTACTGACTACAGGGAACACGGAATAGCGGGAATCAAGATACACAGAATCCTACGAGTCCACAACAGAATGCTGAGGAAACGCTTCGATGACAGACTGACGGGAATTGTTGATAGTATTGAAGGAGAATACTTCCCAAGCAACAGGTTAAAAATCGATTAAATTGTCAAGTAAAAGATTTAAGTGAATTGGTTGTTCAGTTAAATGCATTTAAACTTTTTATAAATATCTAGGTGGTTTTGTTGTCACTTACTTTCATCATTAATATTGAATTTCTACAAATTGTTCATGTTATAAATCTATTGATATTTTCTGGTTTATCAGGAATACTGCCTACAAGAAACAGTTGGAGTACCTGTTTTGGATCTGGGATCCTAACCTGCCCGGAGGGGTACATGAGTCAACAAGAGTGATGGAGGAGGGATTCATGGATGCCATGTCATACAAGGTAGTTCAAAAATCTTTTTTTGAATATCATAATTTGAAAATTTAAAAATGAAAATAGCTTGGCCTTTCAGGTTTATATACAGATATATATCTTATATATAAGACTATATAAATCTTCATTTTACGATCTTTTGATTTCACCTCATTATTTTACCTCAATTTGTGTGTACAGGCTCTAGGAAAAGATGGGGCAGTACCTTTGAGTAACAGTCTGAGTCTAGCAGACAGACACAGAACAAGTTACCTGATGAAAGAAAGCAAGGAAAAGGAATACACAGACAACTGCCCATTCAGATATGGTAGTTCCCCATTAAAGTATTATTTTACAATGTTAATTAAGTATTGAAAAGATCAGTGATATATGTAAGAATTATCCCTGAAAACAACATCATTTTACTCATTGTAGGTCAACTAGTCATATCAAAAGTGTATCTGGGTAAAAGTGTCAAGGCCATTGATGAAAGATTGTAAGTATATATTACATGTTGTGTACATATAAATAAAAATCCTGTTCCTTATGAATATATGTTCCTTGTTTACCTTTTGATATACAATAATTTTTATTAATGTTATTTTTAGAATAACAAGGTCAAACTATCCCAAAATAGATGCTGTCTTCAAGCCTCGTAAAATGTGCATTCCACCAAGTAAGTTACCAGAACATGTTATTATAACAAGTCATTTGTTATTTGTTCTTTTAAAAAGAAACTGTTGTTTAGGACTCTGGTTATGGACTAGTTTTAATAGAGCATTGCATTTACAGCTGCCTTAGAAAAATTTCTCATGTCAGGTAAAAAACATTGTAACTGTCATCTAAGCACTTTCTAGGTCTTTGGGAATATCACACAAGTTTCACAGCTTTTAACTGTAGTATTAGATGCATGAAAATAAATTGTAAAGGATTAATTCATGACAAGGTTACATGGATCAAGAGTGTAAATTCTTTTGTTGAACATGACAATGCTGCTTAAATTGCAAAAATTTTGCACTTGATTAAGCAAGTACATGTATAACCTCGAAAAAATCCTGAATTGAATGAATTTAAGTTGTTTCTTGAAAATTCTTGAAAATTAAATACTGAACTCAAGTGTTTGCAATTTTCTGAAATCTTTTTTTTTTTTATTGTGTCATATGGGGTTAATAGTTTCATTAGGACACTTCCAGTCTTTATTATTCATATCATATAAACCAAAGCATCATTTATATATTTTGAATGAAGCTGATGATGCAAGTTTTTGGGATAACTTTGCTTCTCTGTGTATTTCACTTACATTATTATGAATTTAGTAGATGCTGCACATTGAAGTTTTCAGCAGCTTTTGAATTTACTTACAACTTAGGAGATCATAGATACCGGTAATTCTTGTGGAGATTTTCGTGGCCTGTTTTTCGCTTCTGATTTCTGTGTGTTCACTATGTCAGCAGAAGAATATCAGCCTTTCTTACACTGTACACTGGGTGTAATATTTCCAAGATGATATATTCTATGTACTCTTCTGTGTTGGTAAAGGTGCTTCTGATAACGGTTTGTTCGATATAAGGACTCATTGTAACTCTCTGCCTTTAGGTGGAGGGGACTCGATACACAACTGTGAGTGCAGCGCTCGCCAGTGTGAGTGGTACCTGTTTGACAATGAACTCATTCTGCCAGAGTACATCGTGGACTTTGAATATGTCACAAAGGTGAATAAAATGAATGATTGGGTTATACTGGTTAGATAAAAACATGCAACTTCAATGAAAATGAGCTTCAATGTAGGTGTAAAAGTTTTATGCTTGAAAAAGTTTTTCTTTCATTTTCAAGTTCCGGTCAAAGTCCCCTTTTGCAACATTTAGTGACCTCATCCTTGACAATAAGGAATCTAAGATCCCTATGGTGCCCCACACAGACGATGATCCTGCTGTGGATGATGATGTTCTAGGAATGGAACCACTTCTAAAACAGAGACCAAGGTAACTCTATTTCCTTTCTTACAAAATCTCAAATTAAAAGTTGACGTAACAAGTCAAATGTCACTATTTTTAACGAGGCCCGATCTAGTTGAAAATTTCGAAAACGGAATGATAAAAAATTTTAATTCTTGGAAATATACTGGTATGTTTTATGTTTAGAAAAATTAGAATGGAATTTTGTTACCTTGCCTTTATTGTAGTGAAATGGGGACACTGTCAAGATATGGACCATTTTTCGTGTTTTTATACAAAATTACATACTAAAACTCTTCAAAAAACAAAGAAATTTACAAATTAAAAAAAATACATGATGAAATTCTTTGTTTTTCACATATATCATGCAATTTTCATTCTTCTTATAAAAAATGAAAAGAAAATTAGAGGTAGCCTCTATTGCAGTGAAAAGGGGGCATGTCAAAACACAAAATTTGGATTTATTCTATCCAACTACGTTTTTTATAGGTCGCAATGGGTTTACATAACACCAACAAACGATTGCAATACTGTATTAGTTTCTAAAAAAATAATTTATTCTTACATTATGAAATAATTTTCTCGCCATGCTTTATTTTTCTCTGAACACGCGACGTTGTTTTACGGGGAAAAAAGGGGTAGAGGGGAGGGGGGGGGGGTAAAGGCGACAAAATTGCGATTTTTACTAATATCATGTAATATATAGAAAAATTAAATATTTCGAGGGTTCAATTTAAATGATTTATATAAAACTGAAGATAATCCATGCATATTTAATTTCGCAATAAAAAGAGTGTGTATAAACACTTCAACATGTTCGAAGAGAATGACTAAAATCGTTAACTTTTAGTTGCAGTGTTTGTTTTTTTAAACTCACAAATTGAAATAAAACAGGATAAAATTAATGAATCTGTACCAAAAAATTGATCCCTCAAGTTAATTAGGTTCCAAAGTTGTTTATTAGTTTAAATATTAAAAAAATAATAGAAATGCCATCTTTCAATGCATAGTCTATAGCACTACCAGGTAAGCAAGATCAGCGATACATTTTAGCGCAATTTGACGTCATTTTAATTGTGACGTCTTTGTGTTCAATTGTGACGGCAGTCAAGGGTATTGTGACGTGCCTGAGTCGACGCTGCGTTAAAACGTATGCGCAGATCAAGTAGATTGGGCCTCGTTAAGAAAGTTAATTGATTAAACAGATTTTTCTCATTCAAACAGTGCTGGGACCTGTTTTGCATTTGCATGCAGGTATCAAAATAACAATTATACCCAAGAATGTTTAACATGCTCTTCAATTTTTCTGGAACTTTGTAATGTTATAGTTCTATAATTATGGCATTTTAAATTCTTTCAGGTTGACAATGTTGAATGAGGAAATACTAATGAAACATGTAGAAGTTGATTCTCTGGAAGCCATAACAGTGTTAAACCTCCACAACAATGGGATCTGTAAACTGAGGCCCATCCACTCTCTGTATCATCTGAAACGACTTACTGTCAGCTTTAATGAGCTCAATAAACTGGATGAAGTAGCTAATATGGTAAGCCACTCCTACATAGAAAATAAGCATTTTGTTTTTTCCTTGATTCTACTCACAATTGATTGAGCAGTGCAGATTAATATTTACATGTACCACATGCACTTAAAATGTCATTTCATCACAGGGATTGGAATATCTTGATGCCAGTTTTAATCATATTTCCACCTTAGAAGGACTTAAAGTAAGTTACCAGAAAAACAGTATTCAGTTGTGCATTTTCAACATTCCGGAAAATGAAGTTTTTCCCCATTAAGAGTTTAAGATATTTTCAACAAAATTGATAGGAAATGATTTTGTTCAGATATCTTATAATTATAGCATGATCATTCTATTCTTAGAACATGATGAAACTGAAGTTCTTTGACCTGAGTTGGAACAAGCTGACAAACACAAGAGAGGATCTGTCCATTCTCAGGAAGCATGCCTGTAATCTGTTGACCCTTGACCTCAGACACAATCATTGGCTGAAGGTACAGTTTTAATTCAGAATACTTCCTATTCTCCATAAGAATGTCAACTTAAAAGTAACATTTAGCTTTATGTAAAATTTAAACTAAGGCCAAAAAAAATTAATTTCTTGGTTCTCAGGCCCTTCCTCATCTCTTCCAAGGGCGCCTCATTGACCCTTTTTATTGCTAAATCAATAAAATAAAAACAACAAATCACCTCCCTCATCATTTTTTGAGGTTTTGTACAATGTAAAAAGCTGCCTCATCATGTGTTGGGGCAATAAAAAGTAAAAAAAAAAATGCCTCCCTCCCTCATCATATTTCTTGAAAAAAGGCCTGAGAACCAAGGAATTAATTTTGCATGGCCTAATCCTAAATAATTTTCAGCCTCAGAATTTAAGGCTGCGTGTGATTGGACGATTGAAGTCACTGACCCTCCTTGACGGGTCAGCAGTGACAGAGCATGAAGCCACGGCAGCTTTACGAGTGGCGGCGGGATCTCGAATCTGTCAGTTGTCTCTCCTTACACATGCTCGAGTGGACTCACACAGACCGCGCTCGCTCAGTCTCATGCCTACTGCTGAGATCTTAGAGAAACAGAGTCACCACAGGCCAGAGAAAATCAGTGAAACAGATACACTCTGGTACCAGAAGGTAAAAATTCTAAATATATTGCAGATATAATTTAGTATCTCTTCAATAAAGCATATCTGTGTGCATACTTATTAGTATTAACATCTGATCAAGGATATGAAAAATATAAATTCTAAGATGTGCTAACATTTATCTTAGTTAAAATGATATCAGTTCATGTATTTTGTAAATTTAGGTGACCTCTTTGTATTTGGATAATCAGCATATCACAAAACTATCTGGTTTAGAGAGACTGGAAAACCTAAGATATGCCTCTTTTAACAACAATGACATCACAAAAATAGAGGTAAGTTAAACTTTTATCCTGCTGATAGGGAAAAAAAATTACTTGGTTTTAGATAAAAACACTAGACTGATGCATTTTATTATTTCATTTACATGTAATATTTAGGGATTGGATCATTGTGTAAAATTACAAGAACTTTCTCTGGAAAACAACTGTATCAGTAGGCTGGAAGGCATCTCTAAGCTGACCCAGCTGAAGAGGCTGTGTGTGGGCAGTAACTTCCTCTCCACCCTGGAGAACTCGGGCATCCATTACCTGGGGAACCTGGCTTACCTGTCACTGGAGGAAAACAAACTGACTTCCCTGTTAGGGCTTCAGAAAATGGCCACTCTTGTAGAACTGTATGTGGGAAACAATATCATTGCCAGTGTCAGGGAAATCTTCTACCTCAAGGTAGGACTGATAATTTGTGCAGGTTTGTGTGAATTGAATGGTTATACAGTGTATAATGTTTTAGGTAAACACAGAGAGTGAACATGGTCAATGTAAATTTTGTAGAATGTGCATATTTGAACATTTTAGGTCAACTTTCAAAAGTACATGCAATATAAAATCATGAATCATGAATGATTTCTCTTGAATTTAGATAAATGTCAAGAGATACTTTAAAACTTTATAAATACAGTAAAATTCTGAGTTGCAAGTGAAAATGCATTCATAAACAGACCCCAAAATATTGATAAATACATGCAAATAAGGTATAATTTTGCACTTGATTTCCATTACAGATGCTGTCAAATTTAGTCATACTTGACCTGTTTGGGAATCCTGTTGCCACAGAAACGGACAACTATAGACTCTTCATCATTTATCATCTCAAAAATCTCAAAGCATTAGATGGATCTGCAATAGTGAGTTCTTGTGCTTCATTAATTGTAAAGGTGTCATCTCAGATGACTATATGATTATTTTTCAAATTTATTTATACAATGGAGGTAAATGAAACTGAGATGGATCTGTGAAGTAATGATACTCAATATTTACAAAGTAAATATGGTAATGATTAAAGCTATGAAATTGCATTAATTGACACATGTTTAAAATAAATGCAGTGAAATACATGTATTAATAATTCATACAGACCATAACAACTTTCATTTTTCCGTACTATATAGGAAGCTATGGAGGGAAATCTTGCCAAGGACACTTTTGGTGGTAGACTTACACAAGACTTTGTAGCAGAAAGACTGGGTCATTCCAACTTCCATGATGTTCGGGAGTTAGACCTTCCAAACTGTAGTATTCGCATCGTAGATCTGGGAATAGGCGATGCTTTTATCAATCTTAGAAGGTGAGGCATTGCTATGATGACAAGCATTTGGTAATGCTTGAAAAAAAAGTTAGCTCTGTTTAAGTAAATTAGATATCTTCTTCAAAAAGGGGGGATATATCTTAGAAATTAATTAAACTGAATTTAACCAGTGCATGTCTCTAAGTTGCTGGTATGAAAAAAAAAAAAAAATAAAATGCAATTCTATAAGTTCCTTCCAATAATGATATTTTTGGTTGTAATTGTAGTGTGAACTTAGAACACAACAATTTGACTTCCTTCAGTGGTTTGATTCATTTGCCAAATATAAGGGTAAGTTCTTACGTTTAATGATAAATAGCATATATAAAAAAAGAGTGTAAAATATTTAAACTAGAAAATTAAATTTACACATATTGCTCCCATGTTAACAAAGGTACATAATTTCAGAGATTGAATAAATAAAATGAACACACATGTACAAAAATATTATATTTGTTGTTAAGAGAAAAAAGCCTATCTGATCTACATGTATATGAATTAAGAATGGATGGGAAAGAATTTTCTGGCTTTGATACAAAATAATTTGCAGTATATTTACTTTATTTCCAATTTACAGGTGCTGTGTTTGAATCATAATCATATTGAATGCATTATGCCGAAACAGAAACCGGTCAACAGAATGTCCAAGCAGGGCTCCAATAAGAGCTTGGAATTCTTCTCCAATGACTCGTCCACTCCTATCATGGAGAGCTTAGAGGTGCTACATTTAGGTTATAACGGAATCAAAGATATGTCCATTCTACAGCTGAGCAGGTTAACCTCACTCAAGGCTTTATTTCTACAAGGTAAAATATTAGAACATGTACTTATAAAAAATACAGCACCTTGAAAATCTTGAACTTTCATCTTGGTTCCATTGAGTCAGTTGACGAGATTTGACTGTACATGTATTACTGTAGATTCCTGAATATACGTGTGGAATTAATTATCGCTTAATTTTGCGAGAAGCACCACACGTGAATTAAAATTACTCGCTTTTATTTTTATGGTGCTGAAGGCTTTGTAAAATCTCTTGATCAACTGTCCATTGGCGAATTATTATTCTCGCTAATTGACATTGAAGGGTCATTTCGCGATAATAAGTACTCGCCAAAAATAAGGAATCTACAGTATCGATATGCTTTATGGATGAAAATTGTTAGAATCAAACACAAAAATATTGAAATTTTACCTGTTAGATTGAGAGATTTATGAAATAGTCCCATAAAATGATTCAGATAATTAATAAGTGCATTGCAAGAAATAGAGTAACTGTATTTGGAATAAGGAATCTTAACAATTTTTTTTGTATTTTTCTTCAAGTATCAGTAGTTCATGCTAAAGCATCTGTCAATAGGATTCTGAGAAATTCTCTTAAAATATCATCAATCCTCAATGATTTATTTATTTATGCTTGAACAGGGAATGAGATCTCTAAAGTGGAAGGAATGGAGGGACTGCATGATCTCAGGGAGCTGGTTCTGGACCGGAACAAAATCAAAATCATCTCAGAATTGTCCTTCGCCAATCAGTGGAATCTACAGGAACTCCATATAGAGGAGAACAGAGTGAGAGAGTTGTCTTACCTCAACTGTATGGACAATCTACAGAGACTATACATGGGCTCCAACCGCATCCAGGTATACAACGGAAAATTAACCTAGTGTTAAAATACAGCATAACAGTTAAGATTAGGGATGTCAAAATTGTCAATAATTGATATTCGAATATTCGATAGGAGTATTCGAATATATTCGAATATTCGATAAAATAAATACATCTTGCATTAAAAAAAAATACATGTCTTCACTCTTCTGCCAAAAAGGATAAGTTTTATGCCATTATTTGGGATTAAAAAACTCATGTGAAGTTCGTTAAATGCACTGCAATTATATTTTTAAAAAAATATTGAATGGTATACATCAAATTTGTAATGATTGTTTTTAGAAAATGCAAAATTCTTAAGTATGTTCCAGGTTAATTGATAGTCTTACTAATTAAAGTCTACATTGATAACTCCTACTAATTTATACCAAGCAGAACAATTATCTAATGGTGAAATATTAAAAGCAATTACTTTTTGCTAATTAATTTCCTGATAATGATTTTTAATGATATTTACATAAACAAGGGGTCCGTGTGTTTACTTTAAAACTGTGTCCTTACAACAATACAAGTGATTGTAAGTACTGGAAACAATTATACTACTAATTAAGTGAACAAATAAATAATTAAATAAATTACTCAGATAGATACACTCTTCAAAACTTTAAGATAATCCAAGAGGAATGTTTTTTTGTTTTCAATTTTGTACAAACTTTATTCAATTTCTAATAAAAATTGCCAGGTTTTTCTCTCATTTTAAAGCTTGTATACTTAAAAACGAATATTCGAATCATAAATTCATATTCGAATATCAACTCATCGAATGAGTATTCGAATATTCGACTATTCGTTGACATCCCTAGTTAAGATGTATTGATTTTTTTGTTGTGTTTTGATAATTTTTGTAGGAAATTTCTGAATTAGAGAAGTTGGAGGGACTGAACAATTTGATTGAGATCTCTCTAGTCAACAACCCTGTAAGTATTAGAACATGTCTCATGTCTATGTATTCTGAGTTGATTTCAAGCCTCTCTTAGTATTAAATCATACCCAGAATAAAAACATTTTCTCCCCCTTATCTCACAACCCAAAAGTCCTCCAAATTGAAAATATTGTTTATTAGAAGTGTTGAGAAGTGGTATATCTTGAATGAGATTGTTTTGCTTAAATGTTTTTCTGTAGGCTGCCAGACGTCACCTTCATCGTCCAATCCTGGTGTTCAAACTGAAACAGATCATGATCATTGATGGAATCCCAGTCAGTGAAGAGGAGAGAGGGAAGGCTGAGCTCTACTTCATGGATCAGCAGGTATGTCCACGAGTTTTATATTAAAATGCTATTCATTTCCATGGACCAACATGCATGTTTAAGATATGTTGAGAAAAGTGCTCCATTTCATACATAAACAGGTATATGTAAGAGTGTTTATATCAAAATGCTCATTTTCATGGATCAACAGGTATGTGCATGATAAAAGATTCAATGGATAATACATATACACACATTTAATTCAGGGACTTGTTCAATATGTGCAAATGGTAAAGTCTTGCATTGGTTTTGTTTCATAGGTAGCCACCACTCAGCCATCAGTCAGTGAAGGATCACTGCCTGGTATTAACCAGATTAAGACACAGGTCCCAGTCAAAGTGACCACGATGCATCTGGGTTCCTCCCCACTGTGGAATGGAGGGGTTCTGTATGATGATAGTGCTCAGGATGCCATCCAAAGAGGCTAGTATTTCATTCTCAGTGATTTCTGGTTTTAGCTTAGAAATGGCTTTTAAATATAGTTAAACTGTCAATATCTGTGAATTCTAAGTTTAAAAGAGTGAAGTAACCTTGAATAATCTTTTAGATACTACTCACTTTTAGGTTATGACAGGTCACTATCAATGGCTGACCATAAAAGCCTTGTCAAATACATCTATTTTAAAGCCTATAAAAGTGGTATTTGATGCAGAAGAAAGGAAAATTATTATCTTTGCAGTTTAAAAATGTGATATAAATGCATGAATAAATATATTTTAATTGCATGAAATTAAAGAACTTTTTGTTGATAATTAGAAATTTTAACTGGCTTTGTATCACATTAATATGTACACACATATTTTTCACACAGCGAACTATATTTCTGTAGAATGATTTTTCAGTCCCAAAATAAATAGGTGATGGATTTCAGACTGATGCTGCACGAAAAAAGAATTGTTACAAAATTGTACTTGGTTAACAGTATCTTTTTCAAAAATTTACAGGTGGTGGTCGTAGAAGAGGAACGGGGAAGGAACCCCCACCTCCCCCTAACCAAGGCATGATGAATCGTGCCAACACTATGGTATTCAATCCTTCAAACACTGGTTACGGGGGCTTCTCCTACACCAACAATTCGGTAAACTCGGGAGCACGGCCGCAGTTCTATCTCAATCAAATTCCTTATGTTCAGCCACCTTCACAGACAGAGTATGTTGAATGGTTTTCAAGGTACATGTTGCTGATAAAAAGGGGGCATGTCAAAACTACTTGATATTTACTTACTAATCTATATATAGTTTGCAGTTATTTGGCAATTTTATTAAATTCTGTTTAAATTACTTAACTTAGTTTCTTATAACCTGTAAAGAACATTATAATGTTTTTTTTTTATTTTCAAGGATAGATCAATATTGTTTTCTTGATAGTTTTAAAATAACTTAGATATTGTTGTTCTCTTTAAAGGAAACCTGTATCATAGTTTTAGTTTTGGATTATGTTTAACAGTTCCACTGACTGCTTTCAGACCAATTCACTCCTTAAAAAGAAAACTCATTTACAGTAATTAGCACTTCATGGCTTGTCACTTGTTTCAGTGGTCCCTGAACTCTTGTAAATCCTAAATTGTGACAGAACTTAGTTCTGATGCTGGGAAGAGGTTTTTTATGCACACATAATTTTTTTGCAGTTAGTAATCTATGTTGAACCTTTTTGGAGATAGTGTTCCTTAAGTAACCAAGGCGACTAAGTTTTCGAGAACATTGATGATGCAAAATCTTATTTTGTGAAATCAGTATGAGCAACTAAATACAAGTTGTGTAGATAAATGATTTGAATATTTCTTTTTTAATTAAATACAAGTACATGTATGGAAAGTAAGTGATACACATAGAATTTTAACTCAAAACGCTATGAATAGTAAAGAGCTTTGAAATTTTAGATAGATAATGTTGACACTGTACAGACTTTCTTTGACATGGCCTCTAACTGCCATGATTCATGACTGCCAGTTAGCAGAAAATCATTTTTTTTTAAGAAAATATATATATGCATAACATATCCCCTTTTTTGTTGATCTTTAAGATTTTCAACCTTATGACTCTTTTTCTTCAAAATATTCACTTAGTTGCTTGAAATAACCAAAATTAATTGAAAATAAATTGGCAGTTTCATGAATCAGTCATGTAAATAGCCTGTTGGTATGCATTTCTCAATTTATGTGTTGCTTTTGTTGATTTTTGTTCTGCTTTTGAATACTGATTGCACCGTGGCATAAGGGTTTTATAATTGAAACGCTTGAAATATAATGTAGTTCTATGCATGCACATATATCATTTTCGGGGGGAGAGTATGTCCCTTTTTCTTATTTTTCTAGGTAATTGTCTTTCTTCTGGCATTTCCCACCTTTCTAAATGATACTATGTGCCTGCTATGTCATAAATGTTTGTTTGGGAATTCAGAGTATAATATTTGTGCTTTGTGTTTTCTGTTTCATAAATATAGGTAAGTTGAGGATGGACTGAATGCATCTTTTAAAGAATTAATGCATATGTTATTGGTTTTTTATTTCAGAAATTTTTAATGGCATGTTTAATGTGTAATGGTATGTTTTTCAATTATAACAGTTGGTAATACAATAATCAAAGAAAATTTATATATCAAAAAACAACATCAATTTGAGACATAATATTAACTCTTAAAATCAGAAAGGTTTTTGTGTAAGGATAGTTCTTTAAATATTCTCTTATTTTTGCAGATGCCAGATGGAAAGGTTCATAAATAACTTGTCAGTCTATTTGTTAGGTTCTATGCCCTAAAAAAGATACAATTAAAAATAAATAAATAAATAAATATAACCCTTTAGTATCAGAGAAGCAGCACATACAGGAAAACAATGCAGTATGCACAGTCCAGTCCAATACGAAAATTCGTAATATTACGGAAAAACGTAAAATTACGAGAAAGCGTAATATTACAAGTTATCGTAATGTAAAACTTATATTACAATTTTTCGTAATGTAGTTAAATTACGAATACGCGTAATATAGAAGATTGTAAGAGACTATATTGCGAGTTTTCGTAATCCAAGACAAAGTCAAGCATTGCAAGAAATTGAGAGGTGGGCAGCAAAGTATGACGTCAGTAATATATCAGATTCCATGGCTACTGATAGCACGCGGTCAGTTTGGTCAGTTACGCCTATCAGAAAGCATGGAAATTCAAAAAGAAAGTACCGCCAGCGATGGGTGAGTGGACAATTCCTTTTATTATTCTTTTATAGGAATTTTCCCAAGGATAAGACCAATTTTCCAGTAAATTTCAATATTCACTTAAGCATGTCACATTGGTCTATATCACCCGAACTCCCTACTTTTCTTGCGAAGTCTACCCTAAAAATCACACCCTCGTCTCATAATTCAAATGTTCGTGCAATTTTTATTGAAATACACAGAATTCAGATCTCAGTAAGAGTCGTACAAGTTATCGCCCGTGACACCTCGTATTAAACGTCATACTTTGCTACCCGCCACTCAATTTCTTGCAATGCGTGAACTTGTCTTGGATTACGAAAACTCGTAATATAGTCTCTTACATCTGCTATATTACGCGTATTCGTAATTTAACTACATTACGAAAAATTGTAATATAAGTTTTATATTACGATAACTTGTAATATTACGCTTTCTCGTAATCTTACGTTTTTTCGTAATATTACGAATTTTTGTATTGGACTAGACTGATGCATGTACATGTATATCTTGCACTATTGTATCAAATGAATGTAATTATCAAAGTTTTAGTATTCCCCTATTAAGTATTTGAAGACCAGTGCTTGCAAATCCCAATCTTTTTCCCCACTGTCTGACATTGGTCAGAGATATGTGAGAAACAATTGGCTGTGTAATCATTCCCTCGCAGTAATTTGACAGACATTTACACATGGGACTTGGGAGAAATTGCCCAGTGATTCTGAAAATCTTTACTGACAATAATATGGATTGGGCACGAACTCTAGTTTCATTGATGACATGACTGTTTTAGCCTTATGGAATCAAAATACACTTCTGTGTATTAACCTTATTCAAATTAACTATTCAAGATGCTTGATATATATGTCCATAAAGAACGTATTTCGTGATCAGTTTGAATCACTTAACCCCCCGAAGAATGCCTAAATTACCATCTTTTGATAAATACTGGTAGATTTTTTAATTTGTTATTCAATATTGTGTATATTGTAACAATTTGGTTTTTTTAAGCTCTTGTATTTAAAATTACAAGTAGCAACACAAAAAAGAAAAGAGTCATTATTATACATCGTGGTGTAGTGTGTTTATGTAATAAGAATGTAGCCCCTTATATATTTTGATTTGTTTTTTTTTTCTTTTTTAGGATAAACCAAGCCAAAAATAACAGGAGATGAACTTTTCTTCAACAGTTTATAAACCTGTATAGTGATAGATGAAGGTGTACATACCAGTACTTAGTGACGTGATACAAAGTGACTACTATATCATTAGGGATAGTGTGAAAATAATTAGTGTATATCACATATGCTGTGATACCCTGCACAACAATACCTGTGAAAACTTAATTAATCTGGGTGCCAAGACTGATTTTAGTGTCGCCATATCTGAGATGCTTATTTAATTACATTTCTTTCTTGAAATCTAATTACTGTATTATAAGTGCCCAAAACGTTGTACTTTTTTTTTTACTCATTACTGCTGTATTTTATCTTCAGAATTTATGTGCAATTTTGGCAGATCTTTTTTTTTTCTCTGCAATTATGAAAAGGTACTACACATCTTTCTGAAAAAAAAATATGCATACATCTAATTCACAGATGCTTATATCATTTTCTTAAATGAATTTTGTATTCTTACATGTAAGTTTGGGGTATTAAATGTATATATTGTGGCCTTGTAATTTTACATCCCAGGATGTATCTGTTAATAAGTTAATCAAACATTGCCAAAAAAACTCCGTCCTATTCAAAACCTGTTCTAAGCACATATATATATTTGTAAATATCTCATTGTTTTCTTATGCTTATAGCAGGATAAGTATGTTTTGTGTTATTCTTTAATTAATATTTATACATGAATTTAAAAAATGTACATGACCTGCTCTGCCAGTTTATTAAAAGCAGTATTTTGAGGGAAAGAGAGAGGGGGAGAGAGAGATTATAGTAACAAAAAGCATATATTTATACTAATTAATAACTATCTGTTATAGGTTTATGTGTATGTTGTTAATTATTAAGTTAAGTGCTTTGTTGTTGATATGTAAATGAATTTTACAGAGTCCATATCAAATTAACTTTTTCAATGCGATATGCATTCAAGTTACATTATATATTCATCAGAATGTGTACTGTACTGTACATGTATGTTTTCATTATTACTGAGTTTTATTTTGTGATATTTGGTTTGCTCAATTTATTTGTATTGGATGTATTTATTCAATAGTCATGAATGATATTAAAATGAATAATTCTTGATAAATGGTTTAACTTTTGTTTCTGATTCCATTAGATTGTACTGCTGTTTGAGTCCTTGACTACAGTTATTTATTGCAGGGCCTTTAAATCCTCTGCCAAACTTACTCCTCACATAAATATTTACATCTGTGAAAGAAAGACATCAGATGAATAATGTTTCAACATATCTGGAAAGTGGTGTAAATCATATCAAAGTTAATATTAAATGATTCCTCATTGACAATATCCACCAAGTCTTTTGCTATTAGATCTACCAATGATCTGAAAGATTGACTATAATATGCTTCTTTATTAGCCGGCCTTTTAAAATTCTTATGAAGCTTAATTTATTTAAAATCTAAACAAAAAAGGGCAAAAAAGTTGCTGTTGCCTTTTTAGCTCACCTGAGCTTAAGCTCAAGTGATCTTTTCTGATACCTTTTGTAAGTAATCCGTCCATCTGTAAACTTTTCACATTTTCGTCTTCTAAATAACCACTGGGCCAATTTTAAACAAGTTGGTACAAAGCATCCTTGGGTGAAGGGGATTTTCAGTTGTTAAAATGAAAGATCAAGCCCCTTCCAAGGGGGGATAATCAATAAAAGAAAGGAATAGGGTGGAGTCATTAAAAAATCTAATTCTCAAGAACCACTGGGTCAGAAAAGCTGAAACTGATATGGATGCATCCTGGGATAATTTAGATTTTAAATTGTTCAAATCAAGAACCCCATGACTAGGTTGGGGCCACAATAGAGAATCTAAGTTTTACATTGACACACACAGGATCTGAAGAACCTCTTGGCTAGAAAAGCTGAAAGGTGTGTGAAAGCATCATGTGGTAGTAGTAGTAGTGTTGAAATCATGCACCATTGGGGATAGGATAGGGCCTCAATAGGAAATCCCAAGTTTTACATTGAAACATACAGGAAATTTTTTGCAAGAATTCTTCAGAACCTTAGGGCCAGAAAAAACTGAAACTTAATACATGGAAATTTCCTGGGAAAGGGTTGATTCTAAATTTTTCACATCTCCCCCTGGTGTAGTTTGGGACCACAATGAGTTTTACAAGGGGGATCTGCTGAAGAACAAAGGAGCCAAAGTTATTTAGACGAGCGTTGTGGTTCATGGGCCTCTTGTTTGACATAAATTTGATCTATGTTTGACATAAAATATTTATGTACAAACCGTAAACTATAGTTAACGCCGTCTTCTTCAGATTGTATCCAGTCCGTTCCTTGGGAAAATTAAAACCTATCAATACGTGTTAAAACAAAAATCTTTCGAAATTTGATCTTAATTTTTTTACATTCGTATTTCATATTTAACATGTTTACCGTTAAATATCATGATTATCTGATAAATACAGTTTCAATTTGTAAACCACAAACCGTAAACTATAGTTAACGTAATTTATAGTTTCACAATTTGTGAAACTATGATTAACAACTCTTAACTTGCCTGCCTAAATTCCATATAAGAAGAAGAATTAACTACCATATAAAGAATAAAAATGGTCATTTATTAAGGAGTACAAATCATAAGAACTTCACAATACATAATAGCATATAAAAAAGTCATAAAAAGACATTACACAAAAAATGATGTGACAGGTACAAAATATCTAACACTCGTTCAATAAATGACAATAAATCAAAAGACATATATGTACACAAAATACTACAAAACTATCACACATTTGTATCCTGAGAAATGGACTGACTAGTAACATTATTATGCAACAAAATTTTGGCCATTGAAAGGACTAGATATACAGTATGATCTAAACAAAGCAGTGATATGGGGTGTTCATCTGCCACCTTAACAAGGTAGGCTATATCAGTTCTCTAACATCTGTCCTGTCATTATACATATACATTACATATATAGGCTGCCTTGTTAACGCCCCATATCTAACCTTCACTCACAATGCATATGTACAATAGGGAAAAGAGACTTGCACCGAATATATCGTACTAAGCATAAAAACGATAAAAGGAAGGGTGCAGTGTACTCCCCTTAAAAATGATATGAACTCAGAGCCCCTGTCTCCAAGTATGATGCAGTCCGATTGACAACATGTAGCCCCTGTCTACATGGTTGCGTTGGTATTGGATATGAAGCCCCTGTCTTCACAATCCTAATGGAAACACTTGAGTCTCTTAAAATTTTAGAGTTGGGATTCTAATATACTTTTTAAAAGCAGACGAATTCCATCTGCCCATACTTTGAATCTGTAGTTCGGAGAATCCAAGTGAGGCAGCTGTGGTGGCGGCACCAATGCGGAAACTATGTGTGCCGATCGCAACTGCTGGGTGAAGTACTGGCGAGAGATAGGCAAACCATCCATGAAAGAAAACAAAGGTTCTGCGTGGGAAGAATGCTTTCTGAGGTTCAGGTAATGCAGCAGTGCTTTGTACGGGCACATTAAAGGGTCCTTAGTATTTTGTTTCAAGCGGAGTGTTGTTGTGTTTGCCTTTGAGTGATTGAAGTGGGGCATATTTATGTCTCTGAACCTGTGTATGAACCTGTTTTGTGGACTGTCGCTCCCTACAGTCAGGTTTCCAAAAAGTAGAAAATGTTGAGTTGTACTCTTTGTTTTCGTTATTTCTCCGACTCGTAAGAAGGCACAAAATGCAAGGGTAAACATGGCACGTAAAAGTGATTTCGTGAAATCCGATGACGTGGTGAAATCCAAAGCATGAATAACTTTCCTCAACACTACTGGGGTTATTGGAAGCCTTGGGTCAGTCGTTGGTTTAGATTTACGGTATCCCTGGAGCATTTTGCGGATGATGAAATGTTGTGTTATATCTGAATTGTTTCCGAGTTAGAAGATGAAACTCAATGAGGATACTAGTGTGGAAGTGGTAGATGCGGCAAAACCTTTCTGGTAGCAGTGAGCGATAAAAAGTGATAGGTGTTGCACACAAGGTGGTAGCGGGGATGCTTGGTTCCCAAAAGTCTGTTCAATAAAGCATTTGTATGATGAAAAGGCTGATTTGTAAGCCAATAGAGTGGACGGCGATAAAGAATTTCGAACCAATAGGTCAGCTGTACATGTCAGATCTTCACTAAACTTGAGGGGACTGGTGTTGGCCTTCTGTTCATATGAGGGAAGCGTGCCCGAAATTCCTTCACCTGCAAACGAGAAAGTAAGTCAGCAGCTGTATTAGATATTCCTTGTATGTTTGGCCTGGAAATGGATATTGTGTTTAAGTGAAAGAACCATAAAACACCGCATCAGTTGCATAAGATGGGGGTCTTTTGAGGTATTTTTGTTTATAACGTGCACAACAGCCATGTTGTCTGAATGTAGAACCACCGTACAGTTTTCCAAAGAAAGGGCCCAAATCTCTAATGCGATGACAATAGGTAGGAATTCTTGTTTTGAAATATGGTATTTTAACCACTCTTGGTGAACTCGTGGTAAAACCACTTTGTACGAAAAGTGCATCCGAATCCTATGTTACTTGCATCGATGAAGAAATGCAGTGAAGAGGAAGAATGAGTTATACCGGATGGAAAAAAGGCCCTGCCGTTAAAATGTTCTAAAAACACACCCCAGGCACGCAAGTCGGCCTGTGCCTGTGAGTTAAGACGACGGTGATGGTATGGTTTCTTAAGGCCAATCGTTAGGTCGATAAGACGTCTCAAGAAAGTGCGACCGGGTGGTACGACGTTACACGCAAAGTTCAGCATACCAATCAAGGACTGCAATTCTTTCAACGTTGCAGAATGCTTTGTTTGAATTTTTTTGATTTCTGCCTTTAATTGTGTTAATTTATCCAAAGATAATCTGATTTCCATCTTCAGCGTATCTAACTCTAGACCCAAGAATGTGAGGGTAGTTGTTGGGTAAACAGTTTTTGCCGATTTGATAGGCAGGCCAATGTCTTTAGCTAGTTGGTAAAAAGCTAGTAGAGCACAGTAACACTTTGAGGAGTTAGATGGACTTATGAAAAGAAAATCGTCCAAGATGTGTACACAATGCAAAACCGAAAATTTTGATTCAAGGATTCTTTGAAGGGCTGAGCTGAATTTTTCAAAGAGGTTACAAGAATAACTTAGGCCAAAGGGAAAGGTTTTGTCAAAGTAATACTTGTTGTCCACCACGAAACCTAACAGTTCAAAGTCATCCGGGTGAATAGGGATTTGTTTATAAGCATTTTCAAGGTCTGTTTTGGCTAACAATTAAAGCACCCCTTCCCAATTGTTTGATTATTGTGATGGCTGTGTCTACTGACTGGTATTGAACTGTACAGAACTCTTTAGGAATGTTATGGTTAATCGAATCTCCTTCAGGGTAAGATAAATGATGGATCAATCGAAATTCCCCAGCTGCTTTTTTGGGCACCAATCCTAAGGGTGATATCTGAATATTTGGAAATGGAGGGCTCAGATAAGGTAAGGCGATACGGTTTGCACTCAGATCACTTATGAGCTTACTACGAAGAATTACATCATTACCCTTAAGAGACGAGAGGTTTTTTGATATCCGAAATGCGCGTTGACCTTGATATGGGATTTTAAAACCGAAAGTAAACCCTTGTATTAGAAATGAAGTCAAAGCTGAATCATAGCCCTCAAGATAACTAGACAGTTTATCGACTCTAATCGGTGTTATGATCGTTTTATCCTTTTTACTTAGACAAAGGTGCTGGCTTATCTCGATATCCCCAGTGAACTTGTGGAGTCTGTCATCTGTTTCATATTTGGATGGTTTACTGACAGGAGAAAACTATAAACAAATATTTCCATTTCTTTTTGTTTTCTTTGTGATAACTCTTAGAAAGTTAGTTGTCAATGAGTTGATTTCTTGATCGTTTTACCGGAATATAAATTTCGCCAAGCAGCTAAGGAGGCCTAATATGCATGTAAATCTCCTGCGTCTGGTTTTGTGTCTGACGCTAAGTGGGCGGGACGTATTGAAATTGACATTGGAGGCCTCGTGCAATTTTAATCTTTTAAAATCTAAATTTACCATTTT